TCATGTTAATTGTTAAACAGTTACAGTGCATCGCCATATGTATCATCACATTCAATCTTTTATATGTAATTCATATCAAAAACACATTTGCTTTGAAGGCATTTATGGTTGGATTTTATCAAACTATGTGTTACAAGACCCAGAATTATTTGAAATTTATTTGTTTCCTAAAACATAATTTTGCCATATGTTAGGTTTTTTTTACCATTTAATTTGAATGAAATATATATAGCAAATTTCCATACAAAATATAATATTTGCGTTAATTTGAATTTCTCAGCTATAGATTTTTTTGTTTACATACATGATACAATCAACAGAAATACAGATAGGAAAACAATCACATCTGATGTATTTCTAATTCCTTTAAATTTCAATATTAGCTTGATATAAATTCATTGTTGCCGACCATCAAAAATTCAAATTTATGAAAATGTTGCTTCAATTTTTTCAAATACAGTATATTAGATTTTCGGAATCAGGCAAATAATGAATATTTTATCAAAACGATTCAATATTCAGAATTATTTTGTTCTTCCATCAACAATCATATTATTTTCTGTTGACAAAGATAATCTGCTTTTAATGTTTGAAGGACTATATTTCTTGTTTTAGGAAAAGTGCCTGCCAACATAATCTTAACTATACTGAACAGTAAACAAATAAGATCCAACTTAACAATTATATAAATATAGAGCACAATATTAAAATCAAACAATGATAAATTCAAATCAACATATAACACAAATAAATAATAAAATTATTAAATAGAAAAAAACTTCATAAAAATGAACATTAATAAAGACTTATCACATAAGTTTCAATTCTTTTTAAAATTTATTTCATACGATAAATTAAGAAATCATTGATTCTTTAAATTCATAATTAATAATCAATAAAATGTTAATATAATACCAAAAAAGCATCTTAAACATTCAGCACTGTGAACCAGCATTAGGTAAGGGCAATGTAGTTTCCATATATAAACAAGCACAAAATCTACAGTTTTAGGCAAGGTACAATTAAGACCGGTTTCACTGTATATTTCAGGAATTTTGCTTCTTAAACATACAACTCATTTTCATTTTTTACTTTATTTGAAAATATCTAAAAGGAAATAAAACAGAAAAATTTAAACAAAAATAAATATCTAATTTTAGAGCCCATATGAAACAATATATTCAACAACATATCTGTCAACTCTGAGCAAAATAGAAAGCAAATCAGCTTACACATGTTTCCATGTGAAAAACACAAATATAGCCATGTTTAACATTGTTCTTATTTCGTTTTTTACACACAAAGTCAAAATGGAAAGACTAGATACACAAACTGTCAATTCAGGGAAATGTAAAATAAGAATGCAAAACTTAAAATATTATAAAAAACAAATATAAAATGCCTCTTTCTTCTCGTTTAATGAAAATTTCTTCACACACTGAACCAGCACCAATGGATGCATTGAAAAAAAACTGAGTATTTTAAGATATGAGGTATCTTCCAAATAAAGAATGAACATAAATTAATGCCCATTGAGATTGACTGGACTTTAATATTTCACTGAACCCTTAAACAGATAGTAATAAATGGGCTTAATATGATTTTATAAATTTACACACAAACAAGAAATGATTGTAACAGGATGCTGTTACGAAGTCTCCCAAACAAAGTTCCCATAATAACAGTCATTCCCATGGTCGACGGACATTGGGCAAAGTCCAATTAAAAAATTGGTTTGGTCCAGTAAAGTGATATGCATTAGTAACCCCTGGGGACTGACCCTATATATCTTTCAAATCTTCGTGACATGACGAACAGGAATATATATGGTTTAGAGGTGGGGATCTTGACCATTTACAAGATATTTGAACATATTCAAATGACAGGGGGTGGGGATGACCCCTTGGGTCTTGCCCTGTATATCATCAAATCATCTTGGCATGACAAACCAGAATATATATGCTTTAGGGGTAGGGATCTTCACCATTTACAAGATATTAGAACTTTCTCAAATGGCAGGGGTGGGGGTGATCCCTCGGGACTGACCATATATATCATTCAAATTTTGGCAACATGACGAATAGGAATATATATATGGTTTAGGGGTGGGGATCTCGACCATTTACAAGATAGTAGATCATTGGGGGTCGGGGGGACCCCTGGGGACTGACCCTATATATCATTAGAATCTTTGTGACATGACAAACAGGAATATATATGGTTTAGGGGTGGGGATCCCAACCATTTACAAGATATTAAAACTTTCTCAAATGGCAGGGGGTGGGGGTGACCCCCTTGGACTATTCCTTTATTTCATTTGTTGTGCTGTATCATGACAAACCAGAATATATATGGTTTAGGGGTGGGGATCACGACCATTTACAAGATATATGAACACTGGTTTTGGGGGGCAACCCCAGGGGACTGACCCTATATATCATTCAAACTTTGTGACACGAAGAACAGGAATATATATGGTTTAAGAATGGGATCTCAACCATTTACAAGATATTAGAATTTTCTCAAATGGTAGGGGTTGGGGCTGACCCCTGGGGACTTACCCTTTATTTCATTTGATGTGCTGAATCATGACAAACCAGAATATGTATGGTTTAGGATTAGGGATCTCGACCACTTAAAAGATATTAGAACTTTGTCAAATGGCAGGGGGTGGGGTTGACCCCTGAGGACTAATGATGTGCTTTATCATGTAGAACATTTTCAATTAAAAAGATTGTGTCTATCACTAACTGTTTTCAAGTTATAATCATTTGAAAATAACAAAAATTAAAATCCCATAGGGTTCTATAGTAAATCCCTCTCTTCTTTTTGCCCTGCAAAGTACCCCTTTTTAGACCCCAATTCACAAACGAAACCCTGATTGCACCACTAGACATGTCAGTCTAATATATTGTGAAACCTCAAGTAAATCTGGCTAGAGGTTTTGGAGAATGGGTGCAGACAAGTTCATTTTAAAAAGCGGCGGAAGAAGATGAAATAATAAGTCTCCAATAACTTTGTTTGGGAGACTTAATAAGCAAGAATTGTTTCTGTTTTCTTAAAGGTAATTCTTTACACTTTAACATGTAGTCAGGTGATTGTTGTGTGAATGAGATAAAATTACCTGAGGTACATAAATCCTTATGATTGACAATGCAGGAAGGTAAGACCAATCAAATGTGTACAGTTTCACCACCTTGAAGAAAACATCATGGACACTTTGCAGGATTACGTTCTTTTGAGTCATTGCATGAAAATATTTTTTGGCACATATTTGATCTTGAAGTTTATTGTGTGCAGTCATTCTTGCATTCTACAATCAAGTACAGGGTTACATGTATCTTTACATCACTGAATTCAAAAATGGGGATTTACACCCCTCTTTTTAATGATTCCAGCCTAATTTCTGATGGCAGTGAGAATTATCCTGTTTGAAAACAAACAAAAATATTATATGAATAATTTTTTAATGCCTTAATTGTCTGACAAGGACATGATTAATTTCCAAAAAATATATGTTTTAGAAAAATTAAGATTATTTGAGCCTAGATGATTTTTGAGAACAAACATTAATTTCAGATTAACAAAAAATTCTGTATAGTCTGTTACTGACAAAAATGACTACGAAATAAATTATAATTGTGTCTGCATGGTCCTCCATACACAATAAATAAGGAATACAATTATTTTTGTTAAAAAAATCTTAACGATGTATAATAACTATTTACTTTTCAAGTACTTTTTATTTACACATGAAAGCACTCTTAATTGCAACATAAAAAAGACATTCAGAAAAAGTTATGATTCTCTATTTTCACACAGTACTAAAATTTAGGGATAACTTTATGGAAATATTATTAGAAGGGTAAATGGACAGAAAGTCACAAAATTAATACAACAAAAAGTAACAATTACTTCGTTTACAATTTTTTAATATTTAAGAGAAAATTCTGTAAAAATGTTATTGTTAAAATAATATGTGACAAAATATTTCATCAGAGGGATGGATGGAGAGAGGGACAGAGGTAAAACAGTAAACCCTCATCCCTTGGAGAAGGGGTACAAATATTAAGCAATGTCTAGCTGTCTATTTCTTATGAACTTAAACATTTGTAGTTTTATTGGTGCTTACATATATTTCTTTTATTCATAATATAAACATATAATTTGCTATAATGATTCTTTAAACATAATGACTAAAACATTCAAAAACAAAATAAGCCATAAACAAGGAGTAAAAATAAAACTACTGGAAAAAAGATTCAAATAAATTTGGAATGGTTATAAAAATAGTTGCTGCAAAAGTGAAAAAAAATTACCGGTATCCTAAAATTACCTGGGCAACATTCAATGTACATGTATAAATGGAAAAAAATAGAGGATGTTTTAATGATGGGAGCTAGTAGGAATAGGTGGTTGTGGTATATACATCTTTAAGTTAATAAATCTATGTGTCTCAATTTGTGAGGTTATTAGGTATATATGTAATATATATCAAAACACTTTTAACAATAAGTTTGTACTTACTAAGACCTAGGAATTGTACCATTTAACTCTATAAATATTCTTCCATTTATTTTTTTTTTCTCTCTGAATGAAAATTTTCCAGATATAAAAAAAAAACAAAAAACATGTGTGTTTAATGTTCCCTGACCAAACCAAATTTTTGAGAGCTAACCGTAGCTTTTTTCACTGAAAATTTGGCAAATTATATTTTTTGCTAGTATTTTAAACACTCAATAAATGCTTAAAATTGTCAACAATTATTGTGTAAACTGAGTTAAAACATATCTGACTGACAAAAACAACTTCGACAAATGTCAACTAACAAGAAATATAGGAAAATACAATACCTGATCCAATTGTGTAACGGAATAAGGCCATTTTGGTGTTTGCCGATCAAATGATTTTTTTTCTTTTTTAAAATTTTTGCCAACCTATAGACCTTTTATTCAGCAGGTGACAGTAAACACACATATATTAGGGGGGGGGGGGGGGGGATAAAGCATGATTCAAATACCATAAGTAACAATAGCAGAGATCTGAGACAGAAAATTCATTTCAAATAGTGTCATAATGTAAATAATGGTCAGATACACTGTCTGATTTACATCAACATGTGATCAAAATCTTCAAATATTGCACAATATGATTGAAATGACATAAACAAATATTTGGACAAAAGCATGTTTAACAACAAAAACATATAGGCAGTGACAAAAATGATGAATCAATAATTTTCTATGCTTCTGAAATTCCAATACTTTTTAAAATATCCTTAGCTAAACTGTCATCTGTTGTATCACTGTCAGTATGAGAAACATTTGATAATAATTTTTGTTTTTCCTCTGATTCGGCTGTGTTTTCCATTCTGTCCTTTATTTCTGCCTCATTGTTACTTTCAATGGGCTCTTCTGAAATTTGTTTGTCTTTTTCTAAAAGCTGCTCATTGTCTTCCATTTTCTCTAGATTTTCTACTGTGTTTCTTTCTTCATCTCTGTTGTGATTTTCTACTGTTTGACTTTCTCCCTCTGCGTTTTGATTTTCGTTGTTATCTGTTGACAGAGATCGATCAATGTTGGCAGATTGTCCTGTAGTTTTCTCACCACCCCATAACTGACTAGCATGTACAAGTTCCAGTTCAGTTTCTGCAGGTCCACCACCTGAACTCTTCTTACATCTCTCTATCTGATCTGTAATTCAAACAATTCAAGTGTATTATATATAACTATTTTTTCTAACACATACAAAAGATGGCATTTTAAACATTACATTATCTTCTATGTTAATTTCAACTAGACATGAACAGAACCTGAATATTTTTAGAACATTAAAATTACATTTACAAATCGGTAAGAACTGGTTTCTTAGCATGTTAGTGCAGGAAAAGAACTTTTAGCAAAAAATAAGAAGAAAATTATATAACACATGTGTTTTCTACTGATATGTTCATTTTTAACAATTGCATTTATATGATGAGCTGTTAGCATCTGCTTATAACACTGACCAGCTACTGATATGTTTATTAAACTGGTCATTAGAATTTTTTCCCTGTATTTTTTGGCATATTCAGAACTTGTTGTAATAACAGTTCTTCCTCTATGTGTGTTGAATTTATTCCCATTCCATCTTATCTAAAGAGAATGGATTTAACCACAGCCCATTGCTTAAGACTATAGAAACCTTTTAATTAGATGTTTATATTTGGAAACATGTTAATTAATATTGCTGTGTCATTTTAATTCATTCAAGATTCCCATTTATTCATATGTAATTACTAAAGCTACTATACCTTTGAAATGTTGACTACTGACGTGGTGAATATCTAACAGAGAAATGGATGCAAAAGTCTCTGCCTCAGTAGCTGCAGGGTAGTGCTGAAAATACATCAAGTCAAAATACATAATTCAACAGAGAAAAATATTTAAAACCCCTTTCACTGATTAATCAATAAACTTGTTTTTATTTCTTTTCATTTTTTGTGGTTTTGGGTTGCTGTCTCATTGTGGTATATCCTACATTCATTTTAATTAAAAAAAAACAATACATAACTCTATGGTGAACATAAGAACTCCACACTTTACAATCTGTAAGTAATTTAAAATAAATATTTTAGAGATTATACTTTCATTATTTTAAAACTATCTTACATGGTTCATATTAATGCCAAATGATCATTTAGAAGTCAAATAACGCCTGCATACTATACAATGAAATATTCTCTTATAAATCCTTTAACTTAATCTTCTCTTTACTCATGGGGTACCTTTTGTCATTAGAAAACCAACAACATGAAGTTTTAACTAATCTATTTTTATATGTTTCTATCTATCAACAGTGACAAGTATCTGAAGATCTCCTTCTTGAGAAATTTTTACATTCAGTTGTGTGATTTGTTAGTTCATAATTTCTTATCATCCAAAATAAAGTCAAGTAGATGTGAGTCACAAGAAATTCACCACTCACTGCATGCATTCCCTAAACACTACATTTCAAAAAACATTCCTGTGAGTTTTTTTATGACTTTTTATTTTACAATGAGCACTCTTTGTGAGATTTACTGACATATCAAGGTAAACACATATATTGATTTCAATCTATAGAGGAGATAAAATCAAAATCACATGCATTATCATTACTGACAGAGGAATGGAAAATAAAACCCCTGTAAATTGAAATTCTTATTATCTTCTATTGTAATGTTTCATTAGAATACAGGTTCAATTTACAGCCAAATGGACAAATCTAGGTTTACATTTATCAGTCCCGTATTAATTCTCGCCAAATACCCTTAATATTTTACAGCAGTTACCCAACAAGCATTCCCTATTCCCTAACCCAGCTGAGATCTTTTCCTTGCTTACAATATGGATCACATTACAGACATATTAGTAAATTTGGTATTTAACTACTTGTTGTTGAGTGCTCAACCCTCCTCTAATCTGGGACAGTGTGAAACAGCACAGCTTAGATACAAACTGTAAGAATAACTTTGAAAGGGCTTGATTCATCAGATATGCACAAAAACCAATTATAAAAAGACAAAAGAAATACAAAATACGAAAATAATGATCTAAGCCTACACACAGTCACTGAAAGTTAGTTCAAAGCCCAATTTCAAGAAATAAATAAACCATGTTTTCTCAGACTAAAATATCAATCAGTACACCTCTAATAGATTTAATGTGAAGACGTCATAAGCAGTTGGAGAAAAGCTAACCTTGTGCAATGCAAAAATAAGTGTCAACAGGATTTGTGGTCGTATAAAAATGATCCTGCAGCAGCTGTTATGAGCAGATTAAAGCAAGACTTTTAGGAGGATACAAAAATAATAAATAGGGAATGTGTCCATTGGACACAGATGATGCCCCCGCTTGCATATAACGTTAAAAAGGAACATAACTCAAGAACTGTAAAAATGATGCTACCCAAATTTGTACTTGATCTGAGTTTTGTGGTAATTAGCATTGTGTATACGTTTCATAACATTTAGTTGAGGCAAACTTAAGAGAACGGAAACGAGCAATTTTTCCATTTGTAAAGGGGCATAACTCTAGAACAGTAAAATGACGCCACCAAAATTCAATCTTGATCTGTGTTTTGTGCTAATTAGCATTGTGCATAAGTTTCATAACATTTGGTTGCCTCAAACTAAAGTTAAAGAATAGAAACGAAAAAATTCAACAATTTTTCCATTTATAAAGGGGCATAACTCTAGAACAGTAAAAGTGACGCCACCAAAATTCAAACTTGATCTGTGGTTTGTGGTAATGAGTATTGTGTATAAGTTTCATAACATTTGGTTGAGATAAACTAAAGTTAGAGAATGGAAACGAAAAATTCAGCAAATTTTCCATTTGTAAAGGGCATAACTCTATTACGGTAAAATTGATGCCACCAAAATTCAAACTTGATCTGTGTTTTGTGGTAATAAGCATTGAGTATAAGTTTCATAACATTTGGTTGAGGCAAACTAAAGTTAGAGAAAGGTAACCAATTTTGGGATGTACGTACGGACGTACAGACGGACAAGGGTAAAACTTAATGCCCCCTCCGCTACGGCGGGGGCATAAAAAATCTTACAGCATAGCTTGTTCTAGCTTAATATATAATACTAATCTTTGTTTTAAAGCATTTGCTACTTCTGTGTTGTAAAAGTGTATGCAAAAGTATGAAGAACAAAATAAAGAGACACTAATAGATTCTCAGATTTAATTGAATCATTTGCATCTTTTGTTATGTACATATTAATTCTAGCAAACATTTTTGTTAGCACTTCTTCATGGGCTAAAGTCAAGAACTTGCAACTGTAAACTTGTTGAGAATTTCCCTATATTTCACATAGAAATTCCCAGTAATAAACTTGAGTATGAACTTATTTTTAATGGCAAGAACTTTTATACTGTATATCCTACTTGAGTCAAATTCCCTTGACCATTATACATGTTATACTTCCATGTGTAATTCAAAAAACAAGCCACATCAGAACCAAAACTTTGAAAAATAGTGCACACCATTATGTCTCCTAATGTAGAGCAGGTTTTTTTTTACTTTAGGGTTCCTATTTCATATACAGCTAAATCTGAATCATGTAACCTTTAAAACTAAAGATCTTTATAAAATATAAAATCTGAAAAAAACTTAATCTAGTTTTCTGTAAATGATTTCAATTTTTTTCAGTTTATCAAAAGGTAAGTTGTAATACCAGCAAGCTTCTGTTATCATTGTCAAGTTTCATGAATTATTTTAAATGGAAGAAAGATTGAGAAAGAAAGAAAACACAGAATACATCGGCTTCAATCTTTTTGTGATGAACAAGCTGTTTACAAATGTGATGAGGATAATACACAAAATAATTCTCTTGGATGTCATGTTTACCTACCGATTTGTCTACCTGGAAAACAACTATATAATTAAATGTTTGTTTTAAGGAAAATTTCCGTCCAATGTTTATATTAAGGTTTCTAAAGGGAAATGTTTTGCTTAAAAACTTATTTAGAAGCAACTGTCCTGAAAATTAAGCCTATCTATACAAAACATTGGATGTCCAGTGAAATAATTCACACATGTATATACAGTGGTGTATATTATGCTGTCATATTTCAAGGTAGCTATATTGTTTTTTCTTTGACCTGTGATGTTTCTCTAATTTGAATACCAAGATTGAAATGAAAAAATGGTATAGGAAAAATTCTATTATTCGGGATAGTGCTCGTCAAAAGCCCTGGAAAATCAGTTTGTTGAAAAACCAACGGAAAGTTCTATCCTTTATTACAATGATCAATGACAAAAACTTGAAATGTTACCTATATTAATAGTGAAATATGTGAATAAATGCTTCCATAACTACCTTCATATGTTAAAGATAAAGTATTTTCAATTTTAATGGATTCTAAAAGGCAAATATGTCTTCTTCTCATTTCTTACCTGCTTCAGGTATATGGAATGGTGCTGTAGGCAAAAAGCACCAGTTCAAGGTCAGGTCATTGGTGAAAATTTTCCAAAATAGATTTAATAGGGCTTAATAAGGGATTCTGTGGGAGCGCAATAAAGAAAATTGTTTCAGACGCAGAATTCCGAAAGGGGTTAGGCAAACTAAGCATCTTACCATTTCTTTATAATTTCTCTGACATATTGTACTTCATCTTATCAAGTTTTCACTGAATTTACCCTTCATCAATAACAAGTCTTCATTTTAAGGTAGATAAAACAGGTTATTGTTCTAAACGTATATTTCATCTATTATATCAAACAAATGTCACTGACCATACTATTCAATAAGCTTAAATTGTTGATAATTTGTCACTGAACTGATCTTTAAGAGTGTATAGCCTTTTAAAACTATTTTTCAAATTATTGGTATTGTCATTCCTATCTATGTTAATAAACAGAATCTTACAATAATATTTATCTCCTTAATAACCTTTGTCAAACCATATTGATCTCTACAATCTTGAATATATTTGACAATTGTTATGGAAAATAAGCAAATTTTCCATATACATGAAGGTAATTTATGCCCGTTTCAGCTATTCATTAATAAACGTAAACAAATGTCTATTACTAATTTATAATGTGTGGACACTGACAAAGCCATTCTGTGAATGACTTCAGAATTTTAAATCTTTCAAAAAATTTGTTTTCCTTTATCTCCTATTATTCTTAAACCAGATGACAACCCTGCACTGGTAAGTATAATAGCACAAATATTATAAGAGAACTGACTTACCTGTTTGACCTTAGGAATAAGGAACATCAATATAGCACCAAGTATAGGAGGGGCACCTGCTGCATGGAAAGCTACTTTATAACTACCCATACTGTCATATAGAGCACCTGTCAAATATTGTAATGTAAAGTTAATATAGCACCAGGCCAAGTATCAGAGGAGCACCTGATGCATGGAAAGCTACTTTATAACTACCCATACTGTCATACAGAGCACCTGTCAAATATTGTAATGTAGAGTTAATACATCATCAAGTATAGTAGGGGCACCTGCTGCATGGAAAGCTACTTTATAACTACCCATACAAACATGTTTGTACATGTATATAATATGAAAATAAGATGTGGTATGATTGCCAATGAGACAACTATCTACCAAAGTTCAAATGAAGTTGATGTAAGCAATTATAGACAACCGTACGACCTTCAACAATGAGAAAAATCCATACCATATAGTCGGCTATAAAAGGCCTTGACATGAAAAATATGAAACAATTCAAATGAGAAAACTAACGGCCTAATTTATGATATAACAATTTATGAAAAAAAATATGACATACATGAACCAACGACAACCACTGAACTACAGGCTCCTGACTTGGGACAGGCACATAAAGAATGTGGCGGGGTTAAACATGTTTATGAGCGCTCAACCCTCCCCTAACCTGTCTGTCCCAAGCCAGGAGCCTGTAATACAGTGGTTGTTGTTTGTTGCTGTTCATCATATTTGTTTTTCATTTATTGTCTTTAAATAAATCAGGCCGTTAGTTTTCTCATTTGAATTATTTTACATTTATCATTTTGGGGCATTTTACAGCTCACTATGCAGTAAGGGTTTTGCTCATTGTTAAGGCCATACGGTGACCTATAGTTGCTAACCTTCTAGGTCAATTGGTGGAGAGTTTTCTCATTGGCAATCATACAACATCATCTTATTTTTCTAATGAACACCAGAAGAAACTATTATCAATGATAATCACTACCTATCTATAGTTGAAAAGAGTGAATACATTAAAATGTCTTGCCTGCATAACTGATTACGGTATGTTTGAATTTTATGCTGCAACTCTTTTATATCAAGGTCTTGTTACAGGTATAAGATGACGATGATGAGGGGGGGTTTTAATGACTTTGACTACCAAAGAGGGTCTCGCACGGTTGTCCCTGGCTAACGCCTTTTTGGGCATTTGATAATTTATTTTTATCTTATGGTAATTAATATAATTTGAGAGACAAAACATAACATAAATATTGTAATAAAAAGTAAAATATAAAAAATGTAAATGAATAAATAAATTGATGAATAATAATCATGATAATTGGTAGATTAAATAATAAATAAATGGGGAATGTGTCCATGGGACACAGATGATGCCCCCGCTTGCATATCATATTCAGTTATAAAGGGACATAACTGAAGAACAGTAAAAATGACGCTACCCAAATTTGTACTTGATCTGAGTTTTGTGGTAATAAGTATTGTGTATAAGTCTCATAACATTTGGTTGAGGCTAACTTAAGTTAGAGAACAGAAACGAAAAATTCAGCAATTTTTCCATTTGTAAACAGGCATAACTCTAGAACGGTAAAAGTGACACCACCAAAATTCCAATTTGATCTGTATTTTGTGGTAATTAGCATTATGTATAAGTTTCATAACATTTGGTTGAGGCAATCTAAAGTTAGAGGACGGAAACGAAAAATTTAGCAATCTTAATGTTTATAAAGGGGCATAACTCAAGAATTGTAAAAGTGAGGCCACCCAATATCGAACTTGATCTGTATTACTGTAAATTCAGAAATTATTGCGAGGTTTTTATTATTGCGAAAAATGCGACTGAGTTGTAAACGCAATAATTTAAACTCGCATTTTGAAATATTTTATATGAATTAAACATGATTTTTCTCAAAATCGTAAAAATTAAAATCGCAATTTAGTCTAAAATGACAAAATCGCAATAATAAATGCACGCAATAATTTCTGAATTTACAGTATGTGGTAATAAGCATTGTGTATACATTTCATAACATTTGATGGAGGCAAACTAAAGTAAGAAAACGGAAACGAAAAATTCAGCAATTTTTCAATTTGTAAATGGGCATAACTCTAGATCATGACCAGACGGACGGACGCCCGGTATTTCCATGTCCCCCACAACACGTTACGCTGGGGACAAAATAAGGTGCCACCAAAAGCCGGAACATTTGATTCGATCTAAATTTGATTTTATCTTTCCTGTTATAATTAATAAAAGATTTACAAATGTAACATAAATAGGAGCATAATAGTTTGGTCTTGATATTTCATGTGTCAACTGCTTAGTAACAAGAAAAAGTTTAGTTAATTAACACCCAATTACCTGCCACTGGAGGTCCAATAGTGAAAGGTATAGCAAATATTCCCAGCAAAAATCCAATAGCTTGTGATGCTTGATACTGTCCAACAATATCAAAAGCTATGGGACCAATCAAACAAACAAATACTCCGTCACTCAATCCTAGGACCAGACTTATAGCTATTAGACCACCAAAGCTTGACGAAAAAGGGATGCATGCTGTAGTCACACCCATCACCAAGAACGCTACTTGCTGCATTGTAACACGATTTACAAATTTCAAGTCTGCTACCTTGCCAAATACGAGGCGACCAATGGCTGATGTAATCTGAGTACATGTGATCAAGAAAGCTCCATTTTCACCAGGAAATAAATCTTTGGTATGTTTAACCTGCAATGAAAAAAACACATTTTTATGTATTGCACACATTTCTTCAAAGATTTATTGTGAGTTATTGTTCACTTATGATACCATCACTATATATGTTCAGTAAACAGGATGTTTATAACAGTGATGGATGTAACAAGGTTATAGCATCCTCACATGAAGCTTGATACCATATATGGCAATAATGCACAAGAAGATGAAAGTATTTTGTATATAAAAAGTTGATAAGCAATGGATATGACAACCCTTCTTATTTAATGCTCACACGAAGCTTGATTTGTTGTTCCTGAAAAATTTCATTGGACATACAGACAGACATATGAAAAATCTAATCAGGAGTACAAATGTATACATTCATATGTGGTGTGGGCTTTGCTCATTGTTGAAGGCCATACAGTGACAGTGTTCCAGCTTGAATCTCAGGGCAGAAGGGTGCTAGTTGTCTGAAAGGGCATTTTAGCGTTATAACCTAGATTTTAAGGGCAATGTTGGACAGTGTATAAATTACCTTGAATATTGCTAGGCTCAGCTGGAGACCATTAGTTGTATTTAAACCATATTAAAAAAATAATGTGTTCTTGATGTTGGTTCCAATAAGAATTTTTTTTATCAAATTATCATACCATGAAGCAAAGCATATCATTTTGATGTTAATCTAAACAAACTTGTACATTTGGTAAGGAAAATAGTCATCAGAAATTTCAATGTTTAATAACTTATACCAAAATAGACAAGCAGTTTTGAAAGATGGAGTTATACATGCAAAATTGAATGTTTAATGTAATTAAATTATCTACATTTAAATTACTTGTTCAAACATATAGTATATATGTTATTGAGAGTAATTTATTATCATTTGAATTGTTACAAAAAAGTATTTTTAAGTGCACACCAAAGTGCTCCTCAGTAAGGAGTTTTATAAATATAACAGGTTAGACAGGAGATGATCATATTATATTGATGCAATAATATATTGCAGAAGGTATAAACAGTTACTTTTTTCTCCATCATTGTTAAAAATAAGATTGTTGAGTGCTCTTATGTCAGGAGGATTATAAAATACAAGAAGTAAAACAGGAAGTGAATCTTGTTATGTTCAAAGTACAAATTTCTTTGATTCTTCTTTAAATTCATACTCATGGTTATGAAACAAAACATTTTTTTTTTACCAATTAAGTTAAAACTATGTATGCCTTTAAAATTGTTTAAGATTTTATTTTTTATGTTATGCCTACTGAAATAAATTTTTTCAGGTGTACATGCTGTACATAAACATTACAAATGGATAACATGTGGACATTTCATTCTGTATTAAATATCTAGTATTTGTTCAATTATCTTAAATCCACTAATTAGCAGTAAACAATCATTAACAAAGGTGATAAAACTGCCAAAGCATTAGGTATTTAACTTAATCCCATTGTCAGTTAATTAGTGTTACACAATCAGGTAACAATTTTACATGAAACGCCGGTAGGCATGAAATTTGGAAATTTTATTTTTTTGAAAAGGCAGAGGGGTGCATTCTTTTGCTTTGGAGGGCAGAAGGGCGGGGGTAAGGGCACCAAGGGCGGGCCGCCCTTCTATTTAGGGCAGGAGGGAACACTGAGTGACATATAGTTGTTAATTTCTGTGTCATTTGGTCTCTTGTGGAGAGTTGTCTCATTGGCATTAATCATACCACATCTTCTTTTTATAATTATTCTTTTTCATGTTTATACTTAAATACATCTTACCAAAACAAGAAAATCAAGATCTATTATGATCAACTTACCGGTATTATAAACAAGTTTTTTTTTTTGGTTTAGACAGATTTTCACTTGACAATGATTTTACTTTTTTTCAAATATAAAAAAAAATGCTTTTGTACTTAGTTGCTCATGCTTCTCAAATTTCATGATTAAAATATGTTGGATAGAGAATGTCAGTTTAGAACTTGATATGTTAATGTATTATTACTCTGATAAAAAGCAACTGACTTGAATTACATGATTATGTGATAGTTCAGGGCCATGGCATACATACATTTTTAATATGGTTAGTTAGAATTTCAGTAATGAATTTCTAATTCAAAATCATCTTTCTCAAAAAAACATTTTATTCAGTTTAGAAAAAAAAATGCCAGATGTTGGTTATTTTCACAATATAAGTGCTGAAATCCTCAAATAGGTCTTTTTTTTAATTTACATTTGAACTTTTCTGTAAATGGTACAAAAGTATGCATTTTACAATTTACACCAAATAATATATTTCTTATAAATGGGTCATCACAGTAGACAAAGGTAGAATAGTTTTTTATCGTATCTGGAAATTTAAAGTCTTTATTCATTATAATGGTCAGTGACCTTTCAAGTGAGTGATACATTTGTTTAACAGCCAATATCTAAATCTAAATGTAGGTTACTAGTGTGAAAGGTAGTGCAATCATGTCCTGTACGAAAGGTGGTCCACATGTACAACATGATGAATGCATGGTCTTTTAAAAATATGTTAAATACATTTGTACATGTATGTAAACGTTACCAAAATATATTAAATCCTTCATGTGAAATAAATATGGGACATAACTAGGTGTGGCTATGATCAGATATAGATCTGAGGTATGTCCTTCAAAAATCCTTTATTGTTACTTAATCAAAAATATGTCCTTGAAATTTCTTTGTGCTCTTAAGAGTTTATCATTCATTTAGTGTATGACAAAAGAAAAGTGCAAGATTTCAGATTTCAAATATATATGAAAATGCATTAATTGCAGCTTTAGTTTAAACAACTGATTATAATAGTGTTACAGTACACTTACCAGGTGAACAAAAGGAACAAAGTAACCAAACGGAGATTATCCTAGGGATACTTACCAGCTGAACAAAAGGAACAAAGTAACCAAACAGAGATAATCCTAGGGATACTTACCAGGTGAACAAAAGGAACAAAGTAACCAAACAGTGATAATCCTAGGGATACTTACCAGGTGAAAAAAAGGAACAAAGTAACCAAACAGAGATAATCCTAGGGATACTTACCAGGTGAACAAAAGGAACAAAGTAACCAAACAGAGATAATCCTAGGGATACAGTATACTTCCCGGGTAAACAAAAGGAACAAAGTAACCAAACAGAGATAATCCTAGGGATACTTACCAGGTGAACAAAAGGAACAAAGTAACCAAACAGAGATAATCCTAGGGATACTTACCAGGTGAACAAAATGAACAAAGTAACCAAACAGAGATAATCCTAGTGACACTTACCAGGTGAACAAAAGGAACAAAGTAACCAAACATAGATAATCCTAGGGATACTTACCAGGTGAAAGAAAAGAACAAAGTAACCAAACGGAGATAATCCTAGGGATACTTACCAGGTGAACAAAAGGAACAAAGTAACCAAACAGAGATAATCCTAGGGATACTTACCAGGTGAAAGATAGGAACAAAGTAACCAAACAGAGATAATCCTAGTGATACTTACCAGGTGAACAAAAGGAACAAAGTAACCAAACAGAGATAATCCTAGTGATACTTACCAGGTGAACAAAAGGAACAAAGTAACCAAACAGAGATAATCCTAAAGACACTTACCAGGTGAACAAAAGGAACAAAGTAACCAAACAGGGATAATCCTAGTGATACTTACCAGGTGAACAAAAGGAACAAAGTAACCAAACAAGAGATAATCCTTGGGATACAGTACACTTACCAGGTGAACAAAAGGAACAAAGTAACCAAACAGAGATAATCCTAGGGATACTTACCAGGTGAAAGAAAGGAACAAAGTAACCAAACAGAGATAATCCTAGGGATACAGTACACTTACCAGGCGAACAAAAGGAACAAAGTAACCAAACAGAGATAATCCTAGGGATACTTACCAGGTGAACAAAGGAACAAGGTAACCAAACAGAGATTATCCTAGTGATACTTACCAGGTGAACAAAAGGAACAAAGTAACCAAACAGAGATAATCCTAAAGACACTTACCAGGTGAACAAAAGGAACAAAGTAACCAAACAGAGATAATCCTAGTGATACTTACCAGGTGAACAAAAGCAACAAAGTAACCAAACAAAGATAATCCTAGGGATACTTACCAGGTGAAAGAAAGGAACAAAGTAACCAAACAGAGATAATCCTAGTGATACTTACCAGGTGAACAAAAGGAACAAAGTAGCCAAACAGAGATAGTCCTAGGGATACAGTACACTTACCAGGTGAACAAAAGGAACAAAGTAACCAAACAGAGATAATCCCAGGGATACTTACCAGGTAAACAAAAAAGAACAAAGTAATCAAACAGAGATAATCATAGGTATACTTACCAGGTGAACAAAAGGAACAAAGTAACCAAACAGAGATAATCCTAGGGATACTTACCAGGTGAACAAAAGGAACAAAGTAACTAAACAGAGATAATCCTTGTGATACTTACCAGGTGAACAAAAGGAACAAAGTAACCAAGCAGAGATAATCCTAGTAATACTTACCAGGTGAACAAAAGTAACAAAGTAACCAAACAGAGATAATCCTAGGGATACAGTATACTTACCAGGTGAACAAAAGGAACAAGGTAACCAAACAGAGATAATCCTAGGGATACTTACCAGGTGAACAAAAGGGACAAAGTTACCAAACAGAGATAATCCTAGTAATACTTACCAGGTGAAGAATAGGAACAAAGTAACCAAACAGAGATAATCCTAGTGATACTTACCAGGTGAACAAAAGGAACAAAGTAACCAAACAAGAGATAATCCTTGGGATACAGTACACTTACCAGGTGAACAAAAGGAACAAAGTAACCAAACAGAGATAATCCTAGGGATACTTACCAGGTGAAAGAAAGGAACAAAGTAACCAAACAGAGATAATCCTAGGGATACAGTACACTTACCAGGTGAACAAAAGGAACAAAGTAACCAAACAGAGATAATCCTAGGGATACTTACCAGGTGAACAAAGGAACAAAGTAACCAAACAGAGATAATCCTAGGGATACAGTATACTTCCC